CGGGACGCGATAAATCGATCCCCGAGAGGTCGATTTCTACCCGCCGATTCAGGCGGGTAGTGTAGACCTAGCCTAAGATGCATATAAACAAAACAGGAATACTTTAGTGGTGGGGCTGAGTGATCACAAAGTTCCGATACTAATTCTGTGAAATGTAAAACTTTTGGTTTGGGCCCGTCTCCAGGATAAATTTAACCACATGCAACATTATAGAAGCTGACTCTGAAGAGCTGTTGAGGTGTTAGTTCTTTCCATTTATACTGGCAGTGCAATTTCCCATCAAAAATTTGTTTTTACTGTTTTAGACTGGAGGTTCTTCATAGAGCTTTTATGATTTTGTTCCCATGGAAACAACCCTATTTTGTTCTGGTATCACTGGCAGTTTCTGTGAATAGAGCTGAGAAAGAAGACTGTTTTCTATGTGCAAATAAGTGATTGGAATACACTGCAACAGAACCTTGACATTTCACGTTGGGCTGCACTACAAATAGGTCATCCTTGAAATGTTTGGTTTAAGTCAGTGACTGCGTCATTGCTTCAAAAAGTGGTTCCCCAGCCGTGAAGTTTGCATTGTATCCTAGTGATACACTTTTAACCAAAAGGCAACGAAAAAGATTCGGATGCACCAATTTTCCTCTGTGCTGCACATGGAAGGCTTTCTTTTAGATTGGCCTGTATGCACAGACTGTTGTAATGTTGGCCCAGGTGGAAGGGCACTGTAGATCTTTTAATGGGTACTTGTCATTAGGTTATTTAGGCCATTCTGATTTATACCCCTTCATTGAATGCAGGGCCGGCACCAGGGTTTTTGCCTCCCCAAGCGTCGGGGGGGGGGAGGGGAGGGAGGAGAAAGCTGCAATTGCGATCGGTGGCACTTTCTTCTTCGGCGGCAATTTGGTGGCAGGTCCTTCCCTCCGAGAGGGACCGAGGGACCCGCCACTGAATTGCCGCCAAAGAGCCCGACGTGCCACCCCTTCCCCTTGGTCGCCCCAAGCACCGGCTTGCTGGGCTAGTGCCTGGAGCCGGCCCTGATTGAATGACCAAGGCCTAGGAACAATCCAGTCTGCTTTTGTTCAGGAGTCCTTTACCTTGTGCTTACCTGAACGCCAAAGTGTCTGTACCCAGAGTTACTCCTTTTGCCCCAAGCACGTGCTGTAGCATGGCATGGATAATACCTCTAAGATCAGGGCTCTCTTTTAGTGAGGCACCGGTTTTGGCTTCAGGTGTGACCAAATGTTAAACGGCATTCGATACACTTTCTGGTGCCTGGGTAGGTCGCACAAAACAGATGATACTTGCAGCCTTGTACAAGACACCGCAGTTGCAAACCTTACAGAAAGCCCTTGTTTTGCGGGTTAGTGAAAAGTGGAAAATCTGGATTTCACCTTCATTTTCTTGCTGTAGTAAAAGGCAAATTTTACAAAAACTGTGTTTCCCACTATGAAGCCTGAAGAGCATTTACAAAGACCTTCTCCCCAAACTTCCTTAAAACCACCATATTGAGGTTACCAAGCATTTTTCACCTGTTAACCCCAACCAATCCTTTATGTTCTTCTACACCCATATCCCAGAATATTTGTCTTTTTTTTTTTCAGTTAAAATAATCTAAAATGCTACAGTACGTACTGATTTTATTTATGAGATCATTGTGCCATCTGTGGCCAAAATAGAGCAGTTACATTAAGCATCTATGACTTAGGTGATTTCACATTTAAAAAATATTACAGGTACAATATGCATGTGCATCTTTAAACTATGATAAATTGTACATTGCCTACTGCTCTGTATTCAATAACCTGAATAACTGTTTCTATTTATGTTCAGATTACCACCTTCACAGCTAGAAAGATATCAATTTGCTAATAGATTATCATTTTCTGTTTTTTAGAAGAAAAATGTCCTCAACCTCAGAAAACAGCTACTTAGCTCATTTAAGGAGTTGGACAGTGAGCTTCCTCCACCTGCTGATGATGTTAGATATTTAGCATATCTATTACTACTACTAATACTAATACAAGAACCAGTCTACTCTGTCAGGGTGACCAAACAAGTCTTTTCCATCTTTAATGCTGTTTCTTGACAGTTGCCTGTTTGATCTTGACAATTAAATATGGCCCATACTTACTACTAAGGAGAAACTACAGTGTGTTCTGCAATTCTGCTTTGTAGCCAGCGGAGGGCACAGAAGCTTATCAATTAACTTTTTACATTTGTCTTGGAAGGCAAGCTAGAGCATTTGTTAATAAAGCACCTATTTATATATAAATGAGTCTTAGGTTTTTATCCCAAAAACAAATATTATGGACCAAATCTTTGGAGTAACTCAGAATGATAGGAGTGCCAAATATAGTGTTCACAGCCTCAGGGATGAGAGTGGGTGTAAAGGACCCAGATGTGCAAGGAGAGAAGCTGCAGCATTTCACTGGAATATTGTTTGAAAAGCAAAGCAACTTGGAAACCTCGGATGCTGCTCACTCTGTGTCTGGCTAGAAGTCCTCTGCCTTTTGTAAATATGGACACTTAACCTGCTCCTTATACATAAAAATATTTTGTTGTTTAGGCCCCTTTCTGGGACATGCATCAGAATATCCAGAAAGTCTATAGTGATGGAGAAAGTGATATGATTAAACACCTGTTACCTTGTATAAACATAAGATTTTAGTTTACAACCTGTTTGTTAACATCTCAGTCATGCCAGGTATTGTTCAGAGGTAGACTGTGCACATACAAAGCCCTATTGAAGTCCAGGGGAATTTGTGCCAGCACAGAGGTCTGCCCATGAGCAATGCATTGAGGAACAGGGACTTGACTGCAAGGTGTATGGGGCAAGGACTGTCTCTTACTATGTGTTTTTATGGTACCTAGCACAATGGAGCCCTGATCCTCATTGTGGTCTCTGGGTGTTACTGCCATACAAATAGCTAATTATAATAAAGGAAGAAACTGGAAATGCCATATTAATGTTAAACTCCATTATTAACATAAGTGGAAAACATCATGTGTATATACCAGCAGAGTATACCTTTTTTCATGTGTATGAAAGGGAATACTCACTATCAAGAGGTGAGGGAGTGTTTGATTTCTGTTAAGTGAAATGCCTAAAATAAAAGTGTGGGGGGGAAATGTATCTTCAAATTTCTAGGAGGAGCACACAGGGTGAGTTCAAACCCAGGCTTTAGCACTGACTTACTGGTTGATTTTGGACAAGTGACTTAACTTCTCTGTGCGTTGGTTTCCTCATCTGTGAAATGGTGGTAATAATACATAATTACTGTACGTTCCAGATATGGCATTAGGAGTAACTACTATGTTTGTAAAGTGCTTGGAGACAGAAATCAGAGTATGAGCAGTTAGGATTATTTAGACAGTCCAGCACAATGGGTCTTCATCTAGTTTAGAGAGAACACTAAACTCTGTGTATAATGCCAATTTTAAACCCTCTTGACTTCACTGCTGGTGTGTAGGATAAGTTTTAAGCAGAGGGGGTCATTGAGCTATTATAGCTCTGAATTATCATTTGGTGAGACTTAATTTTTTCCTAACTTTGTGACGTTTGAAATGCAGCTTACATATGTTATTTACAGTATCTCATTTGATTTACTCAGGCTACGTCCTCACTACGGGGGGCACGGGGGGGTCAATTTAAGATACGCAAATAGCGTAGCTGAATTCAACGTATCCGAGCCGACTTACCCCGCTGTGAGGACGGCGGCAAATCGACCTCCGTGGCTCCCCCGTCGACGGCGCTTACTCCTACCTGCGCTGGTGGAGTACAAGCGTCGATTCGGGGATCGATTGTCGCGACCCGACGAGATGCTATAATTCGATCCCCGAGAGATAGATTTCTACCCGCCGATTCCCGGCGGGTAGTGAAGACGTAGCCCCACTCGGACTGTTGCAACCTTCTGCAAAATATGAACTACACTATGTCGGCAAGAGAAACTTTTTTTTATGTAGCATTTCCCCCTTCTCCCCGCCCCTATCAACACTTGATTGAAAATCAAAGTTGATTGTAATGCCAGTTCAAAAGTGGCCATACCCATCAACACTGATTGTCATAATATGTTGGGTTTTCAAAGTGGAGGTTATTTTTCATAATGCATGTCACAGACTAACTCTTGCTATGAAGAGTGAACTTGTGTATGACATTTTAAAAGAGAATGTATATAAACACTTTCTCTTATAACCTAAGGTACACTAGTAACATTACAGTATGACATTTTTAAAGAGCACCTTTTATATTTAAAAACAAAAGTCACAGATTAGTCTGCTACAAAGAGTGAACTTCCATATGACATTTTAAAAGCGAATGTATATAAACACTTTCTCTTATATCCTAAGGTACACTAGTAACATTATAGTATGACATTTATAAAGAGCACCTTTTATATTTAAAAACAAAAATCACTGATTAGCCTGCTTATGGCATAAAAATAGTGATTTTTGCTTGTTTTTTGTTTTGATTTTCTTCTGTTAACCAGATAAGTGTATCTGCTTTTATCTGGTTAGACACTTACACAGTTTACCACTTTGTTTCACTTAATAATGACAAAAATGTTGTTGGAATGCGTCTTTGAATTTGTGTCTGTGCAACTTTTGTTATGCAGCCTTTCTCCTGAGAATCCAGCTTCAAATTGGTCATCTACAACTGAACGTCATTCTTCTAATCTTTCATTTTACTGGGTAAGCAGGTTAAACTTCTCACTTCAATATTCTTTACTTCTTTAGAAAGCCAGACTTGGACCAGCTGGTCACAAAGTCATTACTCCAATAGAAGACAGGATTTCCAATATACCATCCAACAACCTGGACCATGTGAAGCTGACAGATTTCAACTTTCTCATGGTGCTTGGGAAGGGGAGCTTTGGAAAGGTAAGAAACCTTGAAAGTCAGTTCCACCTGCCTTATTTTTAATAGAAATGAACTGAGAGTTGTCCTCCTATGAGCTGTCGTTTATAAAATGCAGATTTTTTAAATGAGGGTAATCAACCACTGGAACAGATTACCCCAAGATATGGTAAATTCTCCATTATTTGGAATCTTTAAATTAAGACTGGCTGTTTTTTCTTAAAAGAGATGCTTGTCTATTTCAACCATAAGTTGTAGGGTAGATGCAGGAATTACTGAGTAAAAATCTGTGGCCTGTGCTGTGCAGAAATACAGATTAATTGAACCCTTCCAGCCATAAAAATCTATGAAGCTATTAAATGAAGAGCAGGAAAATACCATTGTATGCATTTGCTGCAGATTTTAGGGATTCAGTTTTTAGACCTCGTCTCTACGTAGTATACAAATATAGTTATCTTGATTATTCTTACATCTAATAACCTGCAGTGAAGACCTACCAGAACAGTAGAAGATTTTTATATGTATGAAAATGATTATTTTTGTCACTGATGATTACTGCAAAAAGGTGGTATGGGGCGGAATATTTGTTTTCCAGTATATGAAATGTCCAGAATAGGACCATCCGCTCTCTTGATGTTCCACATTGATGGGCCAATTTTCAAGCCTGGGTGGTATAATAGACATTCAAATTCTATATCTGTCACTTAAGTGTGAACATGCCACTTACGTCCAGAGATGCTTAGTTTATGCCCTTAGGCACTCAGATGGGCATTGAGTTGCAAAACTTGAATGCTTTAAGTTGCATGTTAAAAAAAAAAAAAATTGAGTTCTTAAATTTTAAATGATGTTAGGAATTCCGGGCTTTTCATACAGAGCTGGGCTCAAGAATCCAGATCTGACCTTCCCCAAAGTTCAAGGAGATTCAGGCTCATCTTTGGTGGTGGTGATGATGATGATGATAGAGCTGTTACGTAGGTCACAATGCCATTTGTGAAAGTTGTCGTCATGCAGTAGGAATGAATACTTGGGAAACGTCAGGAATGAGAAATGCAGGGAAAACTGTTAACCCACTAAAGGTGCTGCTGTTTTTCTGGCTGTTTTAACAAGTGGTTTTATAATAAAAGTGCATTTTATGGAGGAATTCAAGTGGGGTCTGTCATTTTGTTGGCCATTAGGAGAGGAGCCCATGATTATCTGGGAGCACTGGCACAGGTGTTAGTGTAAACACCATTTTTGAAGTGATAGTACAGCTCCTTGTAATCAGTGAGTAATCATGATATTTTCAGAGCTTCAAGCCAAGTCAATAAGTGCTGGTAAAATGGGAAGCTGGTGTGCCATTTACATCTTTCTCAGGGCTTGTGAGTCACCTCCATTCTCTGCCTGCGAGGGAGATTTTCAGCCTGTCATTTCTCTTTGTGCAGGTGATGCTGGCAGACAGGAAGGGGACGGAGGAGCTGTATGCAGTCAAAATATTGAAAAAAGATGTGGTGATTCAGGATGATGATGTGGAATGTACCATGATTGAAAAACGAGTCCTAGCACTGCAGGATAAGCCACCTTTCCTAACACAGCTGCATTCTTGCTTCCAAACAGTTGTACGTGATGTCTGTCCTTTCCCACTCCTCCGCTTCTTTCGATTTAATCTTCTGCTAAGATAACTCTGATATATTTTATTATTTCAGCAACATTTAGTATCTTCAACTTGCAGATCTCATGGGTGCTTTACACAGAAAAATGTAAAGAAATAGATACCCTGTGAAATCAGGAAAATCCATAAAAATAATAAATAGATCTTTAGAATAATAGTAATAAATAGATCTTTAGAATAATAGTAATAAATAGATCTTTAGAAGTATTCTACAGCAACTAGTTATACAGAGCTTTTCTCTTTCTGTATATAAGAACTCAGTTATGTCAGTGGGACTTTTCATATTATTCAAGTTAAGCATGTTCTTTAGTACTCTGCTTGATTGGGGCCTTAATTTCCCAGTAATCTAATGAGCTAATTATTTATTTATTAATATATTGACATAGTTAATTTGGTTCCCTGGTACCCCTAAGATAAGGAGGCTGAAGCTAGGATGGTAGTTAGTGAGCAAAGAATAGGTGAGTGCTTTTTACTTCCCCTAAGGCTGTGATACCAACAGTAGCATGTAATATACAAAAAGGTTCACCTATGGAGTTTGTGTTGGTGATATAAGGACCAGAAAATGATAGTACATGTCAGAAGATGGTCCCATCAGAACATTTTAGTTCACAGGGAAAGGTCAGTGGTAGTTACAATTAATTACAATTAATTCTAAATGTAGTGCTGTTTTTTGTGGCATGGACATTTGTCTACTTAGGTAAAGACATCTAAAGTCAAGCCCCAAAACTGCAAAGATTTAAGCACGTGTACAATGAGTGTGTAATTTTACATACAAGCATAAGTCTTTGCAAGAATGAGGTCTCATTTTGCATCATTTTTTCACCATCCAATGGTGAAACATTCAGCTACCAATCTGAACTGAACACTCTAAGTCACTTAGGTGTTTTGAAAATGTTACCCTAGATGTCTAATTTCAGACACCCAGGTATGTACATTTTGGCCAAAGAAAAAATTCTCCCTCCAAATTGCTTAAATCTGCCTTTTGCTGAAATAGGGTGTTTGGGGCAAAAATGATTTGGAGTTGGCCAATTCAATATCAAGACTCATGAACCCAGTTTTCTAAAATCATGTTCATAGTTTTCTTGTTGCCTTCTTTTAAAATCAGGTGCACTTTCATCTTCCATGTCTTCCTAGGGAAAATGTTACAACATAGGTTTGGAAATGCCCATCTTCACAAGGCAAGAATTTCCAACCATCTATAGAGTTTTTTGTTGTCTTAAAAAACATGAGCTCTTGGGCTTAGCTATGTCTTCCTGTCTGTATGAACAGTACTTGTAACATTATGGGCACTACTGTAATACGAGTAATAAGAAATAAACTTGCATCCCTAAAATTGGCAAGGCTGATTGGAGTTCCAGCCTGCCACTGACTCTTGCAATATCTATAAGTCATTCTGTTTCCATTTCCTGATCTATAAAATTGTTTTTGCCATAATGTGCAGAATATATAGACTCATTCTTAAGATTGTTTTGTATTAGAATCTTTATAGTAGTGACCTCTACGGGAGAATACATCACTGTCCATCGCCTAATGAGTTTACCTTTTTAATAATACATTCTATTGGGCAATACATCATTCCTTATGCCTAATGTGTTTACCTTTTTAATACTATGTTCTAGGATCGTCTGTACTTTGTTATGGAGTATGTGAATGGTGGTGACCTCATGTATCACATTCAGCAAGTAGGAAAATTTAAGGAGCCACAGGCAGTGTGAGTGTTTGTTGATTTAAATAAAGTCATTACTAATTTTACACTGCAGCAGAGATATCAGATTTGTCCAGTATGTAAGGTATTATATATAAATTGGGGCTGTCATCTTTTTATTCAGTATAATAAAAACTTTGTTGGCCTGCTGGTCTAAACATCCAGCGCACATTGCAGGTGATAGCTTAACCTTGAAAAATAATTTTAAAATCAATGGCAACAAGTAAACAGGAGTACAATATGGCTATTAACAATTCACACTAAATGAACAACACTGTGAGAGACACAAGAAACAGATTCAGCATTTACTATGTAATTAAGCTTAATTTAATGCATATCTAGTGATAGATACTGTGGTCACACTTTATATTATAAAAGTTCAATTTATAGATCGTTTTAAGAGTTAATACATTAATAGATGTTTTAATAAATAGTTAATCAATTGTTATATATTGTTCTGACATCCAACAGATCAATAGGTTGCTAACCATCTGTAACACCTTCTTTTCTTTAAAATGTACTACTCAAGTTTGTAACATGCTTTTAATGTCTATTAAACATTTATTAGCATTTTATAAACAGTTTATCCATTAAACCTTAATATAAAGTGTGACCTGTCCTGTTTTTAAAAATGCAGAAAAATAGCTGTTAAGTTGAAACTTGCTCAGTATGGTTAAAATCATCAAGTAAGAGTCATTTAAAAAAAAACTTAATTTTAAATATATGACACATAAAAGACAAAAATGGAAGCATGACCTGACTAAGTACTAAATAAAAACCAGAGTCATCTCATGGGTCAGATCCTCAGCTGGGGCAAATGTGCATAGCCCCATTGATTTCCAGCTGGTATAGATTGCCACAGCTCCATTGACTTCTGTGGTGCTATCACATTGTACCCCCTCTGGGGGGAGGGATAGCTTGGTGGTTTGAGCCTTGGCCTGCTAAACCCAGGGTTGTGAGTTCAATCCTTGAGGGGGCCATTTAGAGATCTGAGGCAAAATCAGTACTTGGTTCTGCTAGAGAAGGCAGGGGGCTGGACTCAATGACCGTCCCTTCCAGTTCTAGGAGATAGGATGTCTCCATTAATTTATTTTATTGATTGATTTTTATCTGATGGCCTGCCCCAAGGTCTGTGTTGGCAAACATTCCAAAGAGACTAAAAACAATTCTGAACCAGAATTTTAAGAGCTATGCTGCCTTTTCCTTTTTATTAAACTTAATCATCAATCTTGTTTTTTTACTGGCCGCCTTCATGTAATTGGCTCAGCTCTGCAGTAACTCTGGCTTCAAAAGCTCATCAATATTGTGTATACTTACACTACTTTTGGCAATTGCATTGTATATGGCAGTCAGTTCAATTAGCTTGAAGTAATTAATCCATTACCATTTGTATAAAGTAACAATATTTTTATAAATTATTTTAATGATGTGTGAATCTCAATGTAAATTAATCAGCATTATGAATCATAAATGGTCTGATGTGATCAGGCATTGAGAGGAATGACCTATCCAGTCAGATTACTTACCACATAACTGCCATGTAATAATTGCACTGTGCTTCTTATTTTAGGAAGAAATGCCCAATTTTTTTACCCTGTCTTGTCAAAATATTATTATCACACTTCATAAATGATTAGGAAAATCAAGTTGATGTAGGATGTTATCTTTACTGCTTAATATATACATGAATGCAATAGTTTCTCATACTCTTTTGCTTTAATTCTTTGGTGTGGTGAGTTTCAAATATATTTCTGCAGAGGAAAATCATACGCAGAAGATAAGAAATCTGAAATTCTGTTCTTACAGGTTTTATGCAGCTGAGATTTCAATTGGGCTATTCTTTCTCCATAAAAAAGGAATTGTTTATAGGTGAGTACTAACTGACACAAGTCGTTCCTATTAAAACCCTGGAGAGATTGATGTGTTCGGCTATTTAAAGTATTTTAAAATCAATTTAGAGTCAATTTGGTGTTAATAACTAAACTTCATTGTTTTGTTGGTGATGTTCCTTTAACTAAGGGTGACTGCGTATCTTAGATATGTTGACATCTGCACTCTGCAGCATTCAATTGAAAACACTTGAGTCCAAAACGTTTGTTATATCTTACTGCATTGCATACATTCATGTGTCCTAAAGCATGTGTTTATGTAAAAGTGTGTGTGTGTGTGTGTGTGAGAGAGAGAGAGAGAGAGAGTGTGCATGCCTGTATTTGTTATATATAGTCTACAACATCAGTGTAGTTGAGTTATAATGCTCTAGGAGTACCTTGTGTGACCCTATAATAATTCAGTGCCCACACATTTCTTCAGAAATAAAACATTGAACATAAGAACACTGCCAATTAGGAATTTAGCATTGTTAGCCTGCCATATATTTTATGAACAGAGATTTTAATATGCAAAGACAAATGTAAAAGACAGCTGAATCAAGAAGGGCATAGTTCTTTAATGCATAATGGGATCCTGCGAATAGTACAGACTGAAAGCTTTGACTCAAGGGCATCAGACAATATTGGTCAGTCAGCAAAGTAAAAAAACATTGGCCTAATGAGCAATTCTACCTTCTGATTTTAATTTGAGGAACAATTCTGTTTTCATTTTGTTGAACGCTGACCTTTAATTAAGTGGTTACTTGTTCATTACTAGTTTAGAAGGTTGACTTAGAGCAGTGATCCTCAAACTTTTTCATAGTGTATTCAACACCTTAGTAGAGAGTATCCCATGCATACCTCTCCTCCCATTTGTGGTCACATGGCATTCCTTTGGCAGTGCAGCATTTATGTGGTGTTGCTTAATCTGTAATATGACTTTTTGGTCTTCGTGAAAAAACTTCATCTTGCTATCCATTTTTATCCTACTCCTGTGAAGCCCCCCTTAGCCTCTCTTCCTGTTCTTCCCCGAGACATACTGCTTGGCTGTATTGTTTCATTGCTGAAGTATCACCTTCCAGCCAAAGTGCTTCACAAACTGTATACTACATGATGAAATGCAGCCGCTTCTGTGGAGCAGCACACCCAAGGGGGATGATACGGCTGATGAACTCTTGAACAAACCACTACATTTATGAAAGATGCCATGGGATCTTTAATGTCCACACAGAACACACAGAAAAAACTTCCTGTTTTTAAGGCATCATCTGGAAGATACCCCTCTGTCCACCCTACACACACACATATATACACACACACATATATACACGTATATATAAAAAACACATAATATTCAGTAGTGAAACTGATGTAAGACAACATTTTTGGTGGCCTAGCTGGTATAACTGTTAATATTAAATTACTATGATTCTTCATAGAGATCTGAAATTAGATAATGTGATGCTGGATTCAGAAGGACACATAAAGATTGCAGATTTTGGGATGTGCAAAGAACATATGGCAGATGGAGTAACAACGAGGACATTCTGTGGCACTCCAGACTACATTGCACCAGAGGTAAACATTTAACATTGGAAATAGCATACGACTTCTCAAAAGGATTTTGTAAACATTTCACCCAGTGAATATATGACCGCTACAAAATGGCTGTTTTATGCGTAGGACTGTCCTTGCTTCTGCAGGAAGATGTAATACTTTTGTGAATGAATAAAAAAGACCATTAATAAAATTTTATTTAGGGAATATCTAGCTCATGAAGCATTGTTTGTTTATCAGATTGAAATTCAAATTTGTGCTCATAATAACAAACTGCAAAGAAAGCCATAATACCAGCTTGAACTGTCAATCCAGTTTCATTAAAGTTGTAGCAAGCATGCATATAAAAAGCTTTGTGCCATTTAATTTTAAAGTCATACAATGCTGACAGATGTTAATGAGGTTGTTATTGGGAG